AACAACCGGGCTGTGTCTACATTGGCACCCCTTTCCGGAAAAGGGATGCTAATGAGACCAGTCAGAATTGCAAATTCCATGGGGGATTTAAATATCCCCCGCGGCATTTGCATGAACATGGCTGCCGCTTTTTTCCCGCTCGGGGCTTTGCCGGCAAAAAGCGCCAGTCTAGACGGGATCTTTCGGAAAATAAAGCCTTTTCTGAAAGATCCCTTATTCCTGGTCCTGGCTGGCATTTGCAGGAACATGGTTGCCGCTTTTTTCCCGCTCGGGGTTTTGCCGGAGAAAAGCGCCAGACTAGACGGGATCTTGCGGAAAATAAGCCCTTTTCCTGAAGATCCCTTATTCCTACTTGAAAGGGATCCCTTATTCCTACTTGAAAGTAGGAATAAGGGATCTTCCGGAAAAGGGCTTATTTTCCGCAAGATCCCGTCTAGACTGGCACTTTTCTCCGGCAAAACCCCGAGCCAGAAAAAAGCGGCAGCCATGTTCATGCAAATGCCGCGGGGGATATTTAAATCCCCCGCGGAATTTACAATTCTGACTGGTCTCATTAGCATCCCTTTTCCGGAAAGGGGTGCCAATGTAGACACAGCCCCGCTGTGGGAACTTGGGGCCTGCTTCCCAGCAAGATTGCAAGTAGCCACCAGTGTGCTCGGAGCTGAGCTCTGCCTTCCCAGGGGAGGTGGGCTGTGGCGCCTGGCCACATGCATTCCAAGGGGCAGCCAGAGCCCGGGACCTGCAGCACTCGCAGGCTCCCTCCCGCACTGTGTGGCAGGCAGGGCCCGGGGAGAAGCGTGATGCTCCAGAGACTGGCTGGTGGAGGCTTTGCTCTTCCCTGGGCTGATCTATGAGGCTGCTTCAGTGGCTCAAGGCACATCCCTGCCTGACGAGGGAACAGGCTGCTCGCCTCACAGCATAGCGCAAACACCCACCACCTGAATCTCTTTACCCCTGGAGCTGTGTTTCACATGCTTAACCACCGCTCCCTAGCCCTGCATGGGGTGACTCCAGGCTCTCTAGTTAACTGACAAACCCAGCATCTGGGAGACACTGGTGGGTTTGGGGGTCCCAGTGTGGCAGGTGTCTCTGTGTATAGAGGGTGCCTTCCCTCCCCCCTTAAAACACTGCTTTTACCCCCCATCTTAGGAAGCCCCAGACCCTGCTTAGCCGTTATGGGGACCCCCCGGGTCACTATTTGTGCACACACCCTTGCATACGGGCCTGCATTGTGGATAGTTCTTTGAAAACATCCAATCAATGTGCAGCAGCAGTAAAAAAAGCAAATAGAATGTTCGGAATAATTTTAAATGGATAGAGAATAAGAGGATAACTTATTACCTCTCTAAAAATCCACAGTACACCCACATACTGCGTGCTAATGTGGTTGCTTCATCTCAAATAAGATATCTTGGCAATGGAAAAAGTTCAGAAAAGGGCAACAAAAATTATTAAGGGGGGGTGGAATGGATGCAGTATAAGAAGACATTAATAAAACTGGGACTTTTCAGCTTAGAAAAGGGGAGACTAAGGGGGGATAGGATAGAGGACTATAAAATCCCAACCAGCATGAGGAAAGTAAATAAGGAAAAGTTATTTACTTGCTCCCATAATTCAAGAACTAGTGGGTCATCAAATGAAATTAATGGGTAGCAGATTTAAAACAAACAAAAGGAAGTTTTTCTTCACACCACACACAGTCAACTTATAAAACTCCTTGCCAGAGGAGGCTGCAAAGACCAGGACTTTAACAGGGTTCAAAAAAGAGCTAGATAGGTTCACGGAGGATAGGTCTGTCAATGGCTATTAGCCAGGATGAGTAGGAATGGTGTTCCTAGCTTTTATTTGTCAGAAGCTGGGAATGGGTGACAGGGGAGGGAATAGTTGGTGATTACCTGTTCTGTTCATTCCCTCTGGGGCACCTGGCATTGGGCACTGTCAGAAGACAGGATATTGGGCTAGATGGACCTTTGGTCTGACCCAGTATGGCTATTCTTATGTACGTAGAAAAAATACCATGTGACTTACAGTAGGTGACCAAGCATGGCTAATGCTATTTATTAATAAACAGTAAATACTCATAGTGAGAATTTTATAAATGATCAGTTGGCTAGAATTTGGTATTCAAAATATTCAATGGACAACTGGAAATAACAGGTCTGACCATAAAGAAAAAAAGAGTAAAATTAACTAAATAATAGGTTTGCTGTAAAGTTTGCCTATCTCCGAATTTACCGATGACAATATACTTATCTGAGGTCTTTATGTCTAGCAAGAATCTAAAATATACAGCAAAGATTTTATATGTGTTTATGAAGTGCTAAATGAAAACCAACAAAAGGGAAGCTGCTTTAAATGCCTCTGGATGAAAGGGGATGTGTGTGGAAATATCAGTGCCTTTAAGAAAGGCCAGCACACAGTCCACCAAGCAAACATTAAGGCTACGTCTACACTGCAGGTTTTTTGCGCAAGAACTGTTTTGAGCTAGAGCATGTCCACTCTGCCACGTGCTTTTGCGCAAGAGCGTCCATGGCGGTGTGGACACTCTTGTGCAAGAAAGCTCTGATAGCCATTTTAGCCACAGGGGTTTCTTGTACGAGAAACCCCTATTGTCCATCCACACTGCCTTCTTGTGCAAGAGGGCTTATTCCTCATAGGGAGAAGAATAACTCTTGAGCAAGAAGCCCCCTCTTCTGATGCTTTACTGTAAATTTACTTGCGCAAGAACACACGTGCAATGTAGAAGCTCCACAAGTTTTTGCACAAGAATGGCTGTTCTTATGCAAAGAACCTGCAGTGTAGACGTAGCCTTAAAACATTGCGTAACTCTCTATACTTCCCTGTGTTGGAGATCACTGAGGCTACGGCTACACTGTGGCTTTTGCTGGAAGAGAAAATGCAAATGAAGCGTGGATTAGCATTTTCTTGCACTTTATTTGTGCAAGATCCTTATGCCTCAGAGGCATAAGTGGTTTTTGCGCAAAAAGGAAACGTCCACACTGCTTGTTTTTGCACAAAAACCTCTTGCGCAAAAACGGACCAGAAGAGATTATGCAAATGAAGTGCAAGAAAATGCTAATCCACGCTTCATTTGCATTGCCTCTTCTGGTAAAAGGCGTAGTGTAAACATAGCCTGATGGTTTCGTTTGTATTTAATACATCATACTCCATGTGTGATTCTTCAGGATTTTGAGAGTGGAACTTATATGTAGATTCTGTATGGCATAGTTTTATTTCCCATAAATATATAACACAGTAGTGAAGTTACTTTATTTTTAAAGAAAATACAGTCTTCAGCGCTCAAATAACTAGACAATCAATGTTAATTAAAAAAGGGATTAAAATTCCTTCACTGAAACATCACAGTATTCTCAGAACACTGGATCCAACTGATGAAATGTTCCAGGTCAGCTTGCCAGAAAGTTCATTTCATTAGTGAGACCGAGTAGCTGGAACCGGTGAGAGGTGTCAGAGCTTTGCAACTTTCTGACATTTAGTTTTGTGGATGCATTCTCTAAGGGTATGTCTACACTACCCTCCTAGTTCGAACTAGGAGGGTAATGTAGGCATACCGCACTTGCAAATGAAGCCCGGGATTTGAATTTCCCGGGCTTCATTTGCATAAGCGGGGAGCCGCCATTTTTAAAACCCCGCTGGTTCGAACCCCGTGCAGCACGGCTTCACGGGGCTCGAACTAGGTAGTTCGGACTAGGATTCCTATTCCGAACTACCGGTACACCTCGTGGAAATTCAAATCCCGGGCTTCATTTGCAAGTGCGGTATGCCTACATTACCCCGCTAGTTCGAACTAGCGGGGTAGTGTAGACATACCCTAACTTACCAGGAAATCCATATGTACCTTTTTAAACAATAGGTATATGTTTTGTAAAACATATTCCATTTCATAATGACCATGGGAGATGGGTATAAGAGGCAGGGGAAAGCAGTGTGGCCCCGCCTACACTACGCCTCTGATTCAGCATGACTCCTGGGCAGCCCCCCAGGCTTCAGCCACGCGGTGGCTAGGGATGTTGTGTTAATGAGCCCTTCCTATGCTCTGGGACTGGGGAGGCTAGGACCACAGTGGGCTGGAGACCTGCCCCTGCATTTTACTTTTCATCCACAGGCCTCAAAGTACGTTACAATGGAAGATGGAGAAACTTTAACTGTTCAAGTGCCTTAGCAGGGTGCACAGGTTGCAGGGATACTGCAGCAGGCTAGTAAGGTGTAGATTCACACCCCAGCTTGCCACAATATAACTAGTCATGTAGACAAGTCCTTAGTGACTTGCCCAAACTCACACAGGAAATCTGTGGCAGAGGAAGAAATTGAAGTCTGCTTTCCTAAGTCCCAGCCTAGCCTACTACCTACTTTTCACCTTTCCTCTTCTGTAGTATGACCTGCTTTGGTGGATGAATTCCAACCATCTGTGGATCGTGTCAGTAAAGCCAGCTGGTATGGTCTCGCTCCCATTCTCAAGTGGTGGGCATGCTGGCTACGTGGCTAAGAGGCAGGAGACTCTGGTCATCTGAAGAAGTGGGCTGTGCCCACAAAAGCTCATGATACCATCTACATGTTTTGTTAGTCTATAAAGTGCTAACAGACCAGCTTTTGTTTTTTAAGTTTATCCTGTACAGACTAACTTGGCTACCCCCTGGACCTTAACAGAGTTTTTCTTGAAATCCTCTATTCCCTCTGTTTGGAGTGTGAGATCAAGAATCACAGAGATTAAAGTTTAACAAGCCTGGTACCATGTACAAAATATAAACGTGGTCTTAAATCATCACTGTCAAATTTACACTACTTGCTCTGCTGTTTTGATGTGACTGGCACAGGCAGAGGCTCTTTGGGTTAAATAGAATCTTTTAAACTTCATGGCTCAGTGTCTGCTGTGTGTGGTTTCTCAACATCATTTTACTTTACTCTGAAGGTGGGTTGAGCATAGGAGTCTGACGACACAGTGGGCTGTGCCCTTGATCTGAGAGAGCTCTTGCATTCTTGTGAATGACTACATTATAGAGAGCAGTAACAGCAGCAGCAGTGCTCTGCTTCTCCAGCTCTGCCTGGCAGGCGATCCTCAAGTTCAAATGAACATCTACAATTAGAGAACTTTTTCATCTTCCGCTGCAGATGAATACAGCCTAACTGCACCAGGAAAATGGGCACCGGGGATTATATCTGCATTTCCATGAGTGGAGGGGCACCTTGGGGCTTTAGACTGCAAGGTGGCAAGGATCAAAAGCAGCCTTTGCAAATCGCTAAGGTAGGACAATGAGATAGATGTTATCAGTGTATTGTGAGGCGAGAAAGAAAGAAAGAAAGAAAGAAGTCTGCTTGTGGCTAGATAGCTTCTAGTCAAAAGCCTTGCGGCAATTTTTATTGTGGGGTTGTCTGTAAGTTTGCTGGAAGTAAATTTGGGGAGCTGCTTCCACAGGTGCAGATTGTGATTTTAAAAAAAATAATAGGTAATGCTTACCTTTTGGTTGCCTAGGAGTACCACCACTGTTTTCTTGTAGGTGAAGGGCTCAGTCTTTTAAGGCGCTGAGTTCATTGGGTGTAGGTCACTCGTCACCACACAAGACTGGGCCCCCAGTTAGCAAACTCAGTTTTAAATACTGATTTGCGACACTCTCACTAGTCTTGGCATGGAATAAACAAATGCTTTAGCATGCCCCTGCTATTTTGGGACTCCTGGAAAGCATTCCCAAAGAGTTCTCATGTCATATTAATGAAAATAGCTTTAATAGTTGTCAAACATGCCCTGGTATGTATTTCACAGATTATAACAAATTGTAGTGCATATCACAATATATATTTATATATATGAAGTCAAAGTACACAACAAAAAGTTTAAAACAATTTGAAAGGAAATTGTCTCAAACCATGACATTTTAGAACAATTTTTAAAGCAGTTTGGTTTAAAATAAATATGTATTTTATTACAGATTAAGATGTAGAATGATAGCTGGGTTGCCCCATTCTATCGTATTAGACAAGGGGCTATTTCATCCACAGCTATGGTATCAGCACAAATTTAATACTGCGAGAACAGTTTTTCAACTAGTGGATATAATAAATCCTGCCAGATTAACTTGAGGTCCAGAGGCTTTATACTAATAAAATAAAAAAGGAAACAAAAAAGGGGATATATTCATTATCCCTAGTACTCAGTCCTAGGTAACTTGCTACATTGCTAGGAATTTGATTTGGGGGCCTTATTAAGCTAGATATTTAAACTTGTACTTCTTTTAGTTGGTAATATCAATACTAATCAGAGCTGCATTTAACAAACAATTAAGTCAGGTTTTTCCCCACTATATCAGAAATATTCTTTATGGGAGAAAAAGCATTTTACTTTGTTTAAAACTTGGAGGTTATGTCCATTCTTTTGCTAGGAAAAAAACATCTTCCGTTATGTTTTCTCTGAATGATTTCCAACCATAAAATTAATCTTTTTCAATAGTCAAACTGCAGTTTATTGAACATATTTCCCCCATATCACTTGTGAGTATCATTGTTTCTTGATGTTTGTTTTTAAATATTTTGCAATACTCTAATAGTATTTTTATTGTTTAAAAAAATCAAAAACTATTTTCATGCAACTGTTTCTTTGAAAGTAACTTCATCAATAATAATGACAGTGAAATTCTGCCACCTAGTGAAAACATCAAGGAATGTGAAAGTGAAAGGAGATGATAGAACTGGGATAACTTTTGACAAAGCAGAGCAAAATCAATGTCATTTCTTTTTGACACTTGACAAAGCAGAGCAAAATCAATGTCATTTCTTTTTGACACAAAGTTCAAGTATGGCAAAGTCAGGAGTTTTACAAAAACCCAAACCCAGAACTGACTAATAGCTTGGATATGTCCTAACACTAACCCACCAGAAGCACTAAATCACTTGAACTAGCCAAGTGGTTACAGTTGTGGCTCATCTCTAAAGGAAAGAACCGATAGTTTTTAGATAGGATCATTGAGGAAAATATGTATGTTTTACTTGTAATTAAAACCAATCAAATGGCTAATTAATGCAAAAACTCTTTAGAATGAGTTTTATAAAAACACAATTATACGATATGTATTTGTAAGGGACTGTTGGTAGATTCATGTTTTATGAAGCTGGTTATGAGTACCAGGGCTTTAATTTCTCTGCTGCTGCTTATGATATGACCTAGATCACTAAAAGCTGTCACTTTTGACTGGCCCAACACTGTTCCTCCCTTTCAAAACTGTTCCACAACATTCCTTTTCCTACAGTGACCAAGCAAAGAAAATACTGTTAAAATCCAGTCAGGGCTCAATAGGTCCAAGCTTTCTGACTCCTCAAGAGATGTTCCGAATTGGCAAATCTCCAGGCCAGACAGCCATATCTACTCTATGGGCTGCACAGACAAGTTCTGGGTCCACAGGCAGATTAGGGTTTTTTGGCTGGCTGATGCCAAACCACCTTAATAAGACCTTCCACTGCTGAGGGGTTGATTCTATGGACAGATATGTTTAGCCTTTAATGTTTTTAATCTCATACCCTTCATGAGCACTAAAATAAACAATGCTTTAAAAAAGAAAATCAAGGGGATTTTCTCCCTTCCAAACTTTCAAGGTATATATTTTTGATTACTTAGCTAATGCATGTGTATATATTTTCTTGTACGGCTCAAATGCTAAAAAAAGTAAGGGCCACTCATAACAGCTCAATTGAAGTTAGTGGGTCACCAGCTAAGGAACTAGCCCTAAATGTTTCTTTATGGCTTCCTGTGCCAGCAGCAGCTGGGAAAGCTGTACATATTTTGCTCTCATTGGAGCCTGGTGCAGTGCAAGTACTTGGCAGAACTGATATGCTCTGGAGGCAAACCCAACCAGGCCTCCAGAGCCAGCTGAATGTTAGCTCTGATGTGATCCAGCATTCAGGATGAAGGTGTGTGGAACAGAGTGAGAAATCAGATAATCCATGAAGCACTCTTAGGCTATGTCTACACAGCAGTGTTATTTTAGAATAACTGACATTATTTCGAAACAACGATGAGCTGTAGGACTTCTTACTCTGACTTCTGTAACCCTCATTTCACGAGCGGTAAAGGAAGTCGAAAGAAGAGTGTTCTTCCTTCGACTTCCTGCAGTGTAGACAGAGCCAAAAGCTGAATGAAGATATTTCGACTTCAGCTACACAATTGACGTAGCTGAAGTTGCATAGCTTAATTCGATTTTTGCCCTGCTGTGTAGACATGCCCTCAAAGACAAGACCAAGACAAACACAAAAAACGGCCCCACACAACACCTCTGAAATCAAGACATTTTTCTGTGTTCATCAATATGGCTTTCTAAGAGCTGATGGAGAGGTAAAACTTTTCCCACAGGAAGTTTAAATATTTTTTCTGGATTATTTTTTAATTTGCTAGGAAAAATCAAATAATCAAACCTCATCCTGTAGGTATGATTCCAAACACAGCATTAATGCTTATGATAAATCTGTAAATACTAAATAGAGTTTTCTTTATTTTAACAAAATGGTGCTTTATGGATGCGGTAAACAGAGCTATTCTTTTCAGTGATATAAAAAATGTGGGTTTTAAACAAAATGTTTATATACATATTATTGCTGCAACAGAATGAAATGGTTTTGCTGATTCTTATCTATTAGAATGAATGTTTTATTTAAAAAGATAATAATGAAATTTAATGTAGATAAATGTAAAGTAATGCACATTGGAAAAAATAACCCCAACTATACATATAATATGATGGGGGCTAATTTAGCTACAACTACTCAAGAAAGAGATCTTGGAGTCATTGTGGATAGTTCTCTGAAGACGTCCACGCAGTGTGCAGCAGCAGTCAAAAAAGCAAACAGGACGTTAGGAATCATTAAAAAAGGGATAGAGAATAAGACGGAGAATATCTTATTGCCTTTATATAAATCCATGGTACAGCCACATCTTGAATACTGCGTAAAGATGTGGTGGTCTCATCTCAAAAAAGATATACTGGCATTAGAAAAGGTTCAAAGAAGGGTAACTAAAAGATTAGGGGTTTGGAACGGGTCCCATATGAGGAGAGATTAAAGGGCCTGGGACTTTTCAGTTTGGAAAAGAGGAGACTAAGGGGGGATATGTTAGAGGTATATAAAATCATGAGTGGTGTGGAGAAAGTGAATAAGGAAAAGTTATTTACTTGTTCCCATAATATAAGAACTAGGGGCCACCAAATGAAACTAATGGGCAGCAGGTTTAAAACAAATAAAAGGAAGTTCTTCTTCACACAGCACATAGTCAATCTGTGGAACAACTTGCCTGAGGAGGTTGTGAAGGTTAGGACTATAACAGGGTTTAAAAGAGAACTAGATAAATTCATGGAGGTTAAAACCATAAATGTCTATTAGCCAATATGGGTAAAGAATGGTGTCCCTAGCCTCTGTTTGTCAGAGGGTGGAGATGGATGGCAGGAGAGAGATCGCTTAATCATTACCTGTTCGATTCACTCCCTCTGGGACACCTGGCATTGGCCATTGTCAGGAGACAGGGTACTGGGCTGGATGGACCTTTGGTCTGACCCTGTATGGCCATTCTTATGTTCTTAAGAAATACTTAGCTAGTCAGAGTAATGAAGAGTACAGAATGGTTGTGTCCAGTGTATAATATATGTACTAAGGTCCTGATTCATGCATGCATCCCCATTGAGGGCAAAATATGCTTAAATGCTTTCCTGAATCAGGGGAATGTCTCTGAAATGTGAAACTATGACTTACAGTCTAAATAGCAAATATGCATGAATTTAAATGGCATTCTTTTATCTTTATGTTCACATGCCTTCTGTGTCCACAATGAGATAGGTGAAAGACATGGATTTTTGTTAGTCGTTTTTATATTTTATAAAAGTAAAAAAATTAAGGAAAAAATAATGTCCAGAAACCTCAAAGAAATAATGTCCAGAAACTTCAAAGAAAAATGTGACTTTTCCACCTAATTATGTGAATTTTCACAGTAAACACTTAACATAGTAAACACTTAATTCCTCCTGTAGTGCTACTGAAATCAGGCAAGTTAATGAAGTTATACTGTGGATTAATTTGGTCTATTATGTGTAACAAATACGTAATCAAATGACTTTGTTTGTAGATATGTCAGTCTTGTTAATTTAAAATAGGAGACTTTTACAGAGTAGAACTATTCAAGCAACATAAGTTCCAATATTCAAATTCCAGAACACTTCAAAAGACATTCAAGTGTTTTCTCACCTCAAAGAAAAAGATTTACCATTAGAGGTA